TCCCTACCAGCCCATGGGAGGGGTGTGACAGTAAGAGGCAGGTTCATGTCCTGTTCTTAAATAGCTTTTAACATTAGTGTAGAAATCTGACTCAAAAAGAGAAAGACTAAAATATGTTTACAGAAAAGTGTAAACTCGGGGAAAGACGTGCCTTCCGTCCCCTGAGTCTTTGCACCAACAGTTTTGCTCCGTCTCCTTCATAGCTTCCGTCTCTCACTTTCAAGGTCTGCTTCTCCTTAACCTGCTGACAACCAGCGCTGCTTGGAACAAGAACACGAGCATGTCCTCAGTGACCGTGTGGCCCCTCTGGCCCCGTTTGTCCCCACACCCCAGCATACTGAAAGAGCACCGCATGTTCCTAGGCTTCCCTGCCTTTCTGATCCCGCCACGTGGCCTCCACGGCCAGTACACTATGGAAACCGCATCCCCCAGGTCCCAGTCATCCACCAGGATGCCAGCCAGTCCGAAGGACTCAGCCCGCCTGACTTCTCTGTCCCTCTCCCTTTCCTTACTTGGGTTCCTCTTCTCCACACATGGCACACTTTGGGGCTGGCAGTGCTTGCCTTTGAGCTCATCCTATGGCCTGTCACCGCCAGGGATCTTACACAGATGGTTCTTATTGCCCAGCCTCTGTCCCTTTGCTTCTGCTCCCTGCTGGCTCCAAGTCACAGCGAAGCAGTGGAGAGAGTGAAGTCCGCACCGTCTCCCTGGGTTTGAATTTCTGCACTGGCACTTTCCTGGCTGTGTAGTCTTTCTAGGACTCAATTCTCTCATCTCTAATTTAGGAAAAATTATAATACTGACCTTTCTGGACATCCCATACCATTCCCAAGAGCCAAGCACAAGATTCCATGCCCAGAAGAACATAGTAAAGTTCTAAGGATTAAATGCCATAATGAAATGGATAACTTAGTGGCTAGCCCATAAATACTCTAAATGTTAGCTATCATCATTATTAAGGTGCACTTACATTGAGATGCCAGTCTGGTACCTTGAACTCAATATAATCTAAACTGAACTTTATTTTCCCCCAAACCTGCGACCCTGTTATTACAGTTTTGATTGGTGGCTCAATAATCAACTCAAATACTAGAACAGAAACCTTGATAAATTTTTTTGCTTATGTTTTTTCCGACTTCTTCGCCTATACCCGACATGCCTAAGACCAATTAATCTTTTTGATATCTTTTGTCAAGCCTACTGCTTTCCCCTCCTCCTCCTCCCCTTCCTCCCCCCTCCTTCCCTTCCTTCTCCTCCTCCTCCTTCTCCAACCTCCTCCTCTTCTACCTCCTCCTCATGTTTCTCATTCTTATTTCTGAATGTTGTTTAAAATTCCTGGGTGTTGAGGCTTTAGATCAACTTACAACCATACTCACTACCAAATTCCCCATTCTTGGAGTTCTCAAAGGTCATTTTTTAAAAATTGCACAACAGTATTATTTTTAAAAATAACAATTTAGTAACAACTCGAATGGTATATTATTTTGTATTGTAGTTTTTCACTTACATCCTTGTTCATATTTGTGGGTATTTTTTTAAGTGTGTCGAGGTGGCCCCAGGAAAGGTGGGGTACGGGCATGGGAAGACACAGTCACAAGTTTTAGCGCTGAAGTCTCATCACTGACCCTTCACAGTAGAATAAACCTTACCTAGGAAAAGTTCTCCATCCCCCGATTGTAAGTTATAAAACTTTATTTTTGTTTTTATCCTATTCCATTTATTTCAGAGTATAAAAGATGATCAGTTGTTATGAAATGCAAATCAAATCAAGGTGGGAAATGAGGGTAGGAAGAAAAAAATTGCTAATATTGCTGACTGTGTGTAATTTAGCTGTCTTTAAATATTAAGTAATCTTTTATACTGATCATAAGTATATTCTTGAATACAGGAAGGACTGTTTTCACTCTAAATTTATAACATTTTTGGAAGCTTAATTATCATACTTGAAGGTCAAACAGTGTTTTATTGCAATAAAATACAAAAAAGCAATAAAGAACTTATTCCTGGGGAGATGAAAGTCTAGGTTCATAGCTCATTAAGTACTAACTTCACAGACTATGTCTAATTTGTCATATTTAGCTTTGGAAATTTAATACATTTGAATTTCAGATTAGGTGAAGAGCTACCTGAGGGAGACAACCTAGGGCCTTTGAATTCCAAAGCGATTCAGGAGATAGAGTTCCTGTAACCTAGCACCTGGATTTGTAAGACTTGCCTGTTATCACGTATATATTGCTTGCCTGTCTCAAAAGCTTTTGTTGAACGTGATTAACAATATTAACACACAGCTCACTAATCACTCTCCTAATTTGATTGTAGGGATCCTTTGCCTTTTCTGCCCAGGGTAATTAAGTCTCCACCACTCTCATTGAGCAGCTTGTTAACCAACCAGGTTGGCTGAAATGATCACTACTAATGAATCTTGGAGTCACATGATTGCTTCAAAGTTTCTTTCTAAAATAAGTCAGTTGCAAGGATACTTGTCAAGAGAATCACCTTTAATTTGAGGAAATTAAATGCAACCTCATTTTTTCTAACGTGCCCATCCTGCATTGCTGTGATTTCATGAGATTTTGATGGCTCAACTTTTGAAAGAACATAAACGAATTTCACTTTCCTCAGCACAGAATGGCTCTGAGTGACTGGCTTCCTGCCGTGAGTCCCCAGCCTTTTGGTGGGACAGTGATTCCTTAGTTGATACCCGGCACAGACTTCTTTCCTAGGGCTAGTTTACTACTATGTTTCATAGAAGTATAATGGAAGTCTCATGAGTAATTTTAAATATCACGATAGCTACATATAAATAATAAAAATAAATAAGTGAAATTAACTTGCTTGCATGTTTAATAAAGAATTAGAAAACATTAAACATTTTAATATAATATAGGTAAGGTAAAATTATTATTTATGATGACTGCAAAAATCTAGGGTGTATTTTAAATTTAGGAATGAATGCATGTTGTCAGCACCACAAAATATAAAAATAAAATCATTCAAGGTTAGTACAAGAAAAAAAGAGTGCATCTTGACCAGGTGTGGTGGCACACACCTAATCCCAGCACTTAAGAGACTGAGGCAGAAGATTGCTTCGGGTTCAAGGCCAGCCTGTATGGCTAGCAAAACGTTTCCTCAAAAAGACAAAAAACAGGGCATCTTAAGTACTGGAATACTTGATATTTTTTAAGAATTTTATAAAATTTAGAATTGAAAAATAGCTTCATGTACCAATCGTCCTTACCTACTAGAAGATCTTCTAATAACTAAATTTAGTACCAAACCTAGTTTTCCATTAACATCCTCATCCAACTTGACAAAATTTATTCAGTTCTTAGAAGAGCTGATATAACTTTGGCACAAAGTTTCAAAACTGTATCTATTCAAGTATATTCACTTGTACCTGTATCAATCTAGTATTACTAGCATGTAATTTTCAAGAATATTGTATAAATTGAGAAAACTCCATAATTATTAATATAAACAAGAAATTCTTTAACTTTTGTAGCTGCCTGCAAACAATTTAGATAATGCTAAGATCTACAATTAAAATCTTCTAAATATGGATCCACGTTAGGAAAATGTAGAAATATCATGAATTTGAATTTTAGAAATTTCAGTTTTCTTGCTTTTCTGGAAACTTTCTATTCAGCTTGATATTGGTGAGAAGACACGTCATGCTTTGTTTTTGTCTTGATTGTCGGGTAACTGACAACTGCTTCTGTTTGGAGAAACTAGAGCTAACAATTCAGTCAGTTTTGGCGAAACTCTCCTCAATATCAATAAGCATTGGCACAATACACAAGGTCTTTAAATTTATTGGCTCCTAATATTTATAGAATCTGCCTAAAACTGCTGAACGCAGGCATTTCTAATATGTATGTTAAGATACCGTAGTATCTGCTTTGTTTGGATTTTTAATTTATCATAACTGAATTATTTCATATCATAATGGAAACCACATTTTTCACATCGAGCTGAAATTGTTCTTTGACATATAAAATATTTTAAAATATGTATGTCATGAATTTTATTTTGGGGTAGTAAATTAGCGTTTTTTTCACAGATTTGCAAATACTTAGAGGAAATTAACGGTTTTTTCCCAGATTTGGAAATACTTAGAGGAAAAAATCAGCAAACTTTCCACAGGGCAGTGACCTGTACCTCCATGCCCTTCTAGAGCATCCTTTCTTCAAATACCTGTTAACATGCCCCGCTGTGCTCCTCAAGTCCAGAGGGTCCTTGCGTTTTCACGGCTAAGTCTGAAGTCAATCCCACGATCCCATTCTCCTGATAGTTCCCATTTTATCTGTTCAAAATTCCATTGAGTCATGCTGAAGTCGTGGTCCCCCAGCAGGCCAGGCCCGCTTGTCTGTGCCTTTCTTCCTTGGAAGCCAGCGCTTCATCCCTCCCTTGCCTCTGTCTGTCTTCCTCCTACTGGTCTTTCAAAACTCAGCAGAGAAACCATCTTTTCCAGAAGCTTCTCTTGAGTTTCTTCTTCCCCAGTCAGCCTGGTTGAACCCCCGGTTTGACCCCTTCCTGTCCTCCTCAGCCTGGTATCCTCTGAACTCTGTCATAACACTTCCTACCCTGTGTTGCAACCGAGTGCTGGGAGAGCTGGGTTGGAGCTTTGGGTTTCCATTTCCTAATGTCCAGCACAGCTCCTGGTATGTTCCGGTACTTGGAAAGGGTTTGGCACATCCAGTAACCATGAGGTCCCGTGTCTATTGTGTGCTTACAAGGATACCCAGCTAAGCCTGTATAGTGAGTGACCTCTGTGTAAGAGGGTCTCTTCCTTCTAAGGCAAAGACATTACTTTTAAATACAATAAATAAAGAGTTGGCTATCTTATTTTAGGGTGTTTATGAATATTTTGTTCCTCCTAGACAGAGTCTCTAAAACTTGGATTTATTTTATCTGACCTAGGTTGTGTATTTCTGACTATTTATCTCTGACTTTTGCTTTTAATGCTAACCAAGCATCTTTCTTTTCCTCTTTTGATGCAGCTCCAACCGAGGCCACCTCACACCCACACCTAGGTAAGTTCAAGGCTCTTCTCGTTGTTCTTGACCTGCTGGTTTTGCTCTCCTGGTTTTGTGGGCAGATGCACAGAGGAAGGAAACTCCTCAGCCATCTCAGGTGCACTGACCGGTTATGGAAGTGAGTCTCAGACCCAGGCAGGGCTTGAACACAGAACGGAGCACATTCATGTATTTGTCTGTCATCTGGTCACTCACGCCTGCCAGAACCCTCCTTCCAGGGGTCCTGTTCAGTGTCACGTTTTGCCTGAGTGTGTGAATGATGGGTTTTCCCCAGCGGTGCATCACCAATACTGTAGTACACACAGGGCCAGCGGGTATGGGAGCACTGATGTGGAAGAGTGGCGCTCCTTACAGATTTGAGATTTCTGCTCAAATTAGTACACTGAGAGACGGAAACAATTTGATCATTTCTTCAAAACTCTAAAGGAGACTGTCTCGACTGTCTGCTTTTCCACATGGCACATGATTTTTCTTCATTGTCTTATACTTAGTGGTTCAGGTTTTCGGGGCAGGGTTGTACGGTGGTTAAGCATACAGCTTCTGGAACTGAGCTGCCTGAGTTTTTCACCTTTACCATAGGCAAACCCTGTGATATTGGTGTTGCCTCAACTCCCTTATCTGTAAAATGGGATTGGTGATAGCATTTACCTCACAGGTTGAAGATTAGATGAAGTGATAAGACATGTGATGAGTGATATGGCAGTATTTGGCAACAGCTAAAATATCCATTAAAACATAAAATACAGGAACAAATTCCCATTGAGGCTGATCTATTGCTTTTGTACAAAAGCCTCTAGAAAACCATTGATCTTTCAGTTAAGTTACTTATTTGTGTCGCTAAGAATTTATTTGAAAAAACAATTTCCTATGCTATTAGTAAGAGTGAAAAATCATCCTTACCGGTTCCCGCCTTTTCAGATGCATCTCACTGGGGGACTTCAGACAGGTCAGTTATTTGTGTCTTGGGATTTTGCTTTCAACCTATAAACCCAATTAATTTATTTTTCCTCACTGGAAAATCTGCCTTGAGAAGCTCGACTTTTATGTCATGCTACAGCTCGGGGCTGCTCTGAGTTCGCAGCTGCAGTACCAGCTTAGAAAGACGCCTCCTGGCAGCCGGACCGGCTGTGACCCGCAGTGGCGCAGCTGAGCCTGGCCAGGCTGGAATCTGAGAGTGAGCCCCATACCCTGTGGGCATTTCAGACGCTGCCTCTCATCGCTGGGAGGAATCATTAAATCACTCCCAAGCACTGCGGACCCCGCTCTCCCCAGCGTCCAGCCTCATTCTCCTCTTCTCGCGCCCGAGGCTCTCAGTACTTGGGATGCCCTGGTGTCCACGGCTTCATTATGTGCCCGCCTGCTGGCAGACCTGGTTAAAGGGGCCGGGTGGGGCTGTCACCAAAGAGAATTGGAAAGTATGCTTCCTGACTCAGGAAGAGATTTTAATTACCCGGTGAGCTCAGAGAACTGTATTTGAGTGAGCATCCCAAAACCATAAAACCGCTTTTAAACTAAATTTCAAATTAAGACTTTTTTGGTTAGTCAGATGATATGATTTTAATTTTTCCGAAAGTCATCTGTTAACTTGTTCAAAGGAAATTACAAAGAATCAGAGAGTTTACTTTATAGTTGAAATAAACCTGAGCAAGTCATCTGAATCAGATGACAGTGTTTTTAAACCACTAATTAAGTTTATTCTCTTTTTATATCTTGAGCACACTTACACTACGGCTGCCGTAAAATTTTGCAACCCATTTTCAATGGAAATATATACCCTCTGCTTTATGAAAAATTCTCTGATCTTGGGATGCTCAAAGCTCTGCTGAAGCTTAAAAATGAGTATTTAACACAACTCAGCAACAATGGTAATATATTTAAAAGCATCGATGGCTCCCTGGCACACCTGCTGATTTTTAAATCAGCTATACTTAGGAATTTGCCTTATTCATAGAGATAGTAGCTCCTACACAGTAAATAAAAAATGAATGAATGTAGGGAACGAAAAGCAAGCCAGAACAAGAAGAATAGTAGGAAAGAGAAGATAAAATGGGTCAGTAAACAGCAGCAGCTTTCACCACAGCTAAGCAAGCAGAATCCCCCATCACCCTCCTGCTTTGAAGTGAGATAGAGGCTGAATCTGCCTGACAGGCTGTCAGAAGACACGGATGGGTGTGTGGCAACAGAGGAGGGACACTGCCCTGTGGACTCCTACGGTGACTGCTGCTGACCTTGGCCTCCCTGCCTCTCCTGCCTGCAACACTTCGATGGTCTTTTCCTCAGGGACTCCAGGCTTCAAGGTGGCGAAGCACTAAGCCTTCACCCCAACGCACTGTGGCAACAGAGCAAATACAGTCAGCTGCCTATTTAAAATTCAGTGTTTACTTTTAAATGCTATATATTGTGCTTCAGAAGTGCAGCATGGTAGCACTTCTCTTTAGCTAAGTGTGTGGTTGTAGTATAATTCTTTCCTAAATATTTCCTCCCCCTCCTTTTTCTTTTTTAGCTGAAATACATACTGACAGCATTATCCTACGAGATGACTTTGACTCCTACCACCAACTGGAATTAAATCCAAATATATGGTAAGTTGCAGGACTAGACCTTGTTTTGGTTTATTTAATGCAAAAAATAATAATAATAATAATGCCGACGGCACTCCTAAGGAGTAGTTACTTAAAATTAGATTACCCACTAATGCTAGAGTGTCAGAGGTGTTCAACTGTGGTATGAACGTAATGTAGACTGCACATAATGCTTATCTGCTTATTTCTTTATTTTTTCAAGGACTGAACCTAGGTGTTCGTCTAAGCCATAGGTGTGGTTTCAATATCTGTCAGTTTTACAAAAATACTGATTTAGAAAACGTTACGCTACAATGCTTCTATTAATTATGCTGATGCCAAATGAAAGAAGGAAAATGTCTTTGCTTGAGATGATGCATGATTTGAATCATGTTTCCAAACAAATCCTAAGTTATTAGATCGCCTTGTGATTTATACTCCAATCTTTTCCAGAAGACTATTTAAATGCGAGCTCCATGATGTTTTTGAGGGCAAAGAAATAACAAACTCAAACGTGTTCACCAATGACTACTGCATACAGAGATCACTGCCTGGATTTGTTGGCAATTTGTTATATTTTGGCTGACTTGGAAGGAGAAGATCTGTCAATCCCGGGCTGCAGTCAGTCTACCTAATTTGGAAAACTATCTGAATGGGGGTTTTCTGTGACATTATATGCCATTGTATGGATGGGGAAGAGTCGAAGAAACTCCAAACTTTGCAGTGATAATGGGACTCGAAACAGTATTCAGTACTAAAAAGAGAATAACCATTTCACCTTCCAGTGTCCAGATAGTCATTTCTGTCTTTGTTCATTTTTACTGTTTTAATTAGCAGTAATTATATATAGAGAAAATTAATTAAAGGTTACAGTTCTCCCAACTAGCTGGTTATTTAATAGAGAAGACCTAAACCATATCTTTAAAAGCTTGTAACCTAAGACAAATGAAATGCGCTAGAGAGGTACAAATAATATGCTATGAAAATCTAAAAAAAGGGACAATGACCCTGGGCAGAGTTTCTTGGAAAAAGCAGTCATGAACTAAGAGTTGAAGATGACCTAGAGACAGTGTTGGGGTTTTGGACAACAAACTTTTACATCTTTTCTAGAAAGAAATATAGGTCTACACCATGTAAATATGGAATAAAATATTATTAGACTAGACAGTCATAAAGTCTCACAATTAATATACCACTTAAGGAGGCGATCACTGGGCTCTGTCTCTCTAAAATTTATCATAAATTTATTAAACAATTGAATTCCTTATTAAGAAAAAAACTTTCCCAAGTGTTACTTTGCCTGAGAAAAATTCTCTACTTCACTTGAAACTTGACTTTTTATATTCCACTAATATAGATGTTATCAAATGATTTGTTTCTTTGAAGGAAAGTTCTTTTCTGTCAAGCTAATTTATGAGCTTCAATGAGTTTTCTTGACAAATACAAAATGTGACTTTTATGTAGTTCAAATTCTGTCATTTTTGAATCAATAAAATGTGATTGATTCTGCTTCACCCATTTTCATGACTGATCTCATATATGCTTTCTTGGCCAAAATTATAGATTTTGTGTCTCTTTAGCTTAAGCTATGGCTTATATGTGCTTTCTTGGCCAAAATTATGGATTTTGTGTCCCTTTAACTTAAACTATGGTTTTTCCTACTCCTGTAGAAAACCTCTTTTTAATCTTTAAAAGTCAATTTCTTCTGTCTCCTATCAAACATGCTTTAGAAGTAATTTTAATTTATCCCTTATAATTCATAAGCTCCTTTGTTCAGTCTTCTAAAATTAAATAAAGAAAAGAAAAACAAGCGACAGTCACTCATTATCAGAGAGATGACAGTGAGGGCAAAACCCGTGGAGACTGAGCTCAGGCTGGTCTGCTGTGACTCCTGAACAGGCCTCTTGCTGGGTACCCGGAGAAAGGGAGGGACCGCTTCCTGCCACTCAGCTCCACCCCGCCAGAGGAAGCCAGAGGAACACCTTCCTCGCCACCCACCTTCCATGAGTGCAGCTGCTCAGTGTAAACCAGTCCCGCTGTCCCTGGCTCTCTCTTCCTCCTCCTCCCCCCTCTGTCTTTCCCTCCCTCCGTCTCTCTCTCCCCCTTCTCTTTCCTTTCATCCTCGCAGCCTCTGCCTCCATTTCCTCTTCCCTGTCTCCCCCACTTCATCCCCTCCACCTGTGATGCATTTGCAAGACAGACTGTTTGCCTCTTCTAAATTCAGATATTGTCTTTTAAAAATAATCATTATTACTAAAACCCTCTTAATGTAATTTATTTAATTGAGTTCCCGAGTCTTCCTTCATTACATTTTTGTGAAAGACAGACACCGAGTTAAATATATCTCCGTTACATAACCTATGGGATACACTTCAGTGAATAGCAATAGAGCAGAATCACAGAGGAAAGAAAGCAGGTTATTAGACGTCTTAATAACCATAAACTCTGTAAGACAGAAACCAGTGCCCAGTAAAGTCGGATATCCCAGTTAAATATTTCCAATAAAAAAACAAAGACTCGTTTGGTTTTGGAATCTCATAGGCAGTTTTTACTCTTCTGAAGTCTCTTCTAGGTACACATTCTGTTGTGTGAGTTTCCTCTCTTACAATGTTTCTCCCACAGAAGAATGAGAACACCAGCAGCTCTGTGGTGACATTGAAAAGAGAGTCCTTGGCCCCAACTGTGTGTCTCAGTGCTGGCCACACCCACTGATAGGAGCACAGTGCTGGGTGTGCCATGTTGGGCTAAGTTTTCACCATTCAATACTTCACCAAATTTAAGAGAAAATTTGCTACTTATGAGACCGTGTTTCTTCCATGGGGTTCTAAAAGCGTCATAGTCATTATTCAGTTTGTCTTTTATGGATAAGTAAAAGGGCAAATCAAAAAACTAAAGTTAAACCAGGCGTAGTGATACATACCTGTAAGTCCAGCACTCTGGGAGGCTGAGCCAAGGTCCCAGGTTGGAGCCCAGCTTGGGTAACTTCACCAGATCCTGTCTCAAAATAAAAAATAACGAAGGGAAAAGGCCCTGGTTCAATCCCACTATGGCAGAAAAAAAAGAAAGGAAGCAGGAAGAAAGGCAGAGAAAGGAAGAAAAGGGAAAGAAGAAAGAGACAAGAAAGAGAAAGAAAGAGAGAGAGAGATCATCCATGTACATGTAGTGCTCGACTGGTTTCAAAGTTAAATTATTTTCCTTGCTTCCATAACTTCACTTAAAGAAAGTAACTTTCCATGTAATTAATATCCAAGTTCTCTCATGTACAAATGACTGCACATAAAAACAATATAAAATGATATTACTATTATTATTAATAAAAGAAATAGCTGTTGCTTTTTAAAGTGTTTGATGGAAGTTGGAATAAAACCAAGAATTTTTTTTTTTTTTTCATCAATGCCATCTTGAACATAACAACTACCTACTCGGTTGAAATATTTGAGTTTATATAACAATTAAAATGTGATTTGCTGAAAAGTTTAATTAATACAGAACTATAAACCATAAAAATAAGTCTTTCTTCTACAGCAGACCTGCATTTTTCCTCCATAGGCATCAGTGGAGGTAACAGTCTCTGCAGGCCCTTCCAGAACTCTCTGTGCTTACACAAATGTAGTTGTCAACTCTGCACACAAACTTGGGTATCAGACAAGTAAAACTTTCTTTGTTGTCCCATAAACCAACTTTTTTTTATCATCCCTTTCTATCAGATTAGTGGAAACTTAATTTCATGCAACTCTGGTTTGCAGTCTCTGATTTTTTTGGAGTTTTTTGGGGGAGGCACCAAGAATCAAACTCACAACCTTGTGCTTTCCAGGCTGGTGCTGTGCCACTGAGCTATGTCCCTCTTTCTGGTTTTTAAACTGAGTTTCAAGGCCCTCCTTAGCGCCACATGAGGCAGTAGGTAGCCACACACCTCCGTCCCAGATGCGCCCTCCTCCTGGGTGATGGCTCCAGGCTCTGGGGACTGATCCACACAGGCAGCCTTTGTTCCGTCCTACCAGCTCCTTCTGGACAGTGGCTCTGCTTTGAGTCCTTGGACAAGGTGCGGGAAGCGCTCAGTGTTGCGGGACCTGGGCCACCACGGCAGTCTCTTGGATGCTGTAGCTGGGACAGCTGTGGTCCCTCTGCCTTCCTGATCAGCATAGAGTCCTCTCACTCTTCACACCCCAGACTTCCCTGGGACTCTCCCAGGAAGTGCTCCCTCCTCTCTCCCCTCCCCCAGCCTCTTCTGATTGCCTCTGTGGCTGAGAGGAGAGATGGGAAGCTGCAGGTGAAGAGAACAACCAAATCAGTGTCAGGCTAGTTGTAGCTCAGGTCTGATGGAAGGGATGTCTCCACTTGAACTTTGCTCTGCACTGATGCACACACAGGTAACCATCTGGGGGTCAGTGCCAACCTCGCCATTTCCACTGTGCCATTGAACCCAAGGAGGGTGAGAAAGAGTGGGCATGGGGCAGCATCAATTTCTGAGCGCTGCTGACAGGCCCCGTCAGTAGTGTGTGCAGGGCAGCAGCGTCTTACTCATATAGCAACAACCCTCCAGTCCCTTCCCCCCAAACTGGGAAGAAACATCTCACAGAACTCAATTTAAAGAATGTTACAAGCCATAAGTAGGGTTTACCTTATTAGCATTTTGTTTAAACAACTACTACTTGCACACTAACTATGCCTTCAGAATCCTTCAGTGATTCTCCACCTTTCTGGGGTGATGATTCTATAGTGTATCTTGAAAGGATGTGGGTTACTTAGTCATGTGGATTTGTCAACTCTTGGGATCTGTGTATTTTACTGTGTATAATGCAGTACAGTTTGCTTCAGTTAAACATTTCAGGAGTTATTTAAAAAGCAAAGGGAAACAGTGTGAGATGAGATATTTCTGATTTATTACTTGGAAGACAGAGAGCGAGAGACGAGAGAGAGAGAGAGAGAGAGAGAGAGAGAGAGAGAGAGAGAGAGGAGGGAGAGAATGAGGGAGGGAACAAGAGTAACTAAAAAGTAAATGAATTTTTAAAAACAATTAA